ATTAGAATACTGGCTGTGTAAATTGTCAGACAACCATATGATGAAATATTACGCCTCCAATAAAAATCATGCCTTTGAGGAATATTTAAAGACACGGGAAAATATTCATGGTGCACTGTTAACTAAAAAAATCAGAATGAGGAATATTTTTTCATAATTTATTTCTTAAAGGGAAAATGGTCATAGGCTTTTCCCTTTTATGTTTCCCTGCATTTTAAAATAGTTTACAATAAATATGTATTGTTCTTATAGGCAGAAAAAATAAATCGTTGTTATATTAAAAATAGAATAAAATGCTATCTTTGGGGGGGGATTATCGAAATGTAAATACCACTTCAATATTAGCTGGGAGTAAATAGTAATAAAGTTGTTTTCCTCTCCCCGGCTACACAGATACACATTTTTCTCTGGCTTATGAGTCTTGGGTTACCCTTTCATGAAATGAAGAATACATTGTACATAAATGTAAAACATTGAGTGCCAGAGACACTCCATACATTTTAGTTCTTTCCCCTTCACTGAGCTGCCAGAGGTTGATGTCTTTGATTCCACACTTCAGACTCTTAAAATCCGTGTGATAACTCAGGTGTTACAGTGTATCCAGAGACTCTACCAATGCAGATCCAAGACAGGGGACAGCTCTGTCCCACCATGGTGAGAACCCTTAGTCGGGGGCTGACAGACACCAAGAATAGAAAAAAAGCCTGAAAAAAATTAGACTGCAGAAGCCCAAGAGGAATTTCATGGGTGGTACAATGTTTTCTTTCCCTGCAATGATTTAGACAGGAGGAGTGACATGGCCAGAAGGATTGGGAGCCGACCTCATCTGGCCAGGCTTCCAGGGACCACTGGCCGGGGACATGTATGCCCATCTCTGGCACACACCCGAATCCGCTTCCTCATACATAACTTCATCCTTTCTCTTTTGTTCTCCTTGCAGGGCTGACTCCTGTTCGAGCATTACTCTCATTTTACAGAAATTGTGACCTTGAGGGTGTCTGCCACAGATTAAGGGTTAAGAAATCCTTCGCCAGGTGATATCGCGCTTCATAAACACCCAAACATCCATGATGGGACTTACAGGGCTCCAAAGGAACACAAGCTCGGGCGTGCATGCACCTGAGTATTAATTGATTTTTCTTTTAATATTAATGAGCATATGATTTGGTCTAGTTGACCTTCAAATTCAAATTAGGTACTGATTAAATAATAAGACAGGAGGACTGGGATGTGTTGAAACAGCACTTTTTTCTTCCCCCTCCGGGAAAGTACCTTGGCCTTGGCCGTGAGTAAGGATGAGCTATTAAGAGGGTTGAGACAACTAGAACAGAGAGTTCTCCTTGAATTAAGAATAACTATATCTTAAATAATAGTGATAATAATAATAACAATAAAAATAAAAACTTTGCCCCAGTGTCAACCCGAGCACTTGATATTCCTGGCATAAAGTGTACTCCTGTGTTTATCCTCCCCTTCATCGGAATGCCTCCTCATTTGTTGGTTTACAAGCCTTACCATTTGTAATCTCAGGTTTGTTTTTAAGGATTTAAAGTATAAACCACCATTAAATAAACAGAATATTTTTACCAGTAGAGAGAGAACTCCCTCAAGAGAGAAGTCCATGTCTGTTTTTAACTAACTTAAGAACTCCTATGAACCTACAGATATTTCCTCAGGCCAGTTTTACCTCGAGTGCGTTTCAGTTCAGTCCTGGCTGCTGCATCCCTGGAATTCCCCCACCCTGTGGACGAATTATTCATCAACGTTCCTCCTCCTCGCATTTCAGCCTCCCAACTCAACTCCTGCCCACCTGAGGTCTGTAATGAGTCATTGGGAACAGGTGCCTTCAGTCTGTAGCGCACAGTCTGGCTCTTGATCCAACAGCCAATCAGTTGTACCTCCTTCTGTTAGCAGCATGCGTTGTTCCCAGTTATGTGGGGTAAATGGGCAATGAGCATCCATTCTCGGTACCCAGTGGGAAATATGTCTAGAACATTTGAACGAAATCGCTGGCACGGAAGACACCCAAGAAGACACTTTCTCTTGAAATTCAACTTTCACGTACCTATTTTAATTTTTTAAAAGTCTCATATCCCAAACCACGTGACATTAGCCAGCTCACTTTTTGTTGGCTTGTTCTCAGTCCTCGCAGTTTAGAAGACACTAATTTCCTGGGCGAAACAAAGTTACAAATGTAAATCCAGCCAATCAACAAGCAAAGTGAGGAATAACTGGTGAGTCTCCAAATTTGGGGGGATTTATTTTGGAGGGAGAGAGAGAGAGAAGGAGAGTGAAGGTCAGTCCATAATATCAGCGATTCTAAAACCCAAGAAGATGCTGGGTCAAGATCTAAGTTTGGAAGCAAAAGCAAGAAAGCAACGGCTCCTTCAGGTCCTTTGGTCAGCAAAAATATTCTGCCATTTAAACTGGAGACCGTAACAAGCATTTTTTATAAGCGATCTTAAAACTGCAGAGCTCACAAATAGCCCAAGTGTCACCAAGGAAGAGCTATATTTCTGCATAAAAGCTAATAATGGCGAATGCTTGAAATGAATCTTCAACACATGTGACTGCCTTCTAATCTCAACTTGATCTCAGTCTTGGGAGAATTTCAATGGCAAATTCATTTCTTTTTTGTTCCAAGCTATGTATATGTCAGTCAAGATGCCAGTTCCACATGCATTAGACACTTGGTCTGAATTAGTAATGACTAATAATCAATCAAAAAACAGTATTCTCGTGTATATGCTATTTCAGAAGGAAGAGGCAAAAATCCTATTTTCTGTGTTCTATTTTTAATTGCAACTTATTTCAGTAAAATCCCTAAACTTCACATTTAATCTTCCTAGGGAATTGCATTTGTGAATACTAAAAGTATTCTGAGAAATTGATCCTGGAATGAGCAATTAATGGTGTGAGATCCTAAAAGCATCAAGAAATATCACAAACAGTGTTTCTACAAAGGTGTAATATCTCCAAACAAAACAGCTCAACAGGAAAAAATCTCAGCTTGAAGTACTTAAAGTAGACGATCTCTTGTTTCCTAAACTATGCCATTCAATTTCATGACATTAAAATTTTTTATCACAAGCTAAATGACTAGAATATCCAAAATTATTTGCCTAAGATGAACACCACTTTCTGTCTTTCCAGTGTGACTAAGTCAGATTTATTTCTCTCTCTAAGATGACCTGGTGTTTCTTATCAGAACCTATGTGGATATCTATGTTATTACATTTTTAGATATAAAAAATGGCTTTAGAACCAGAGATGTAAGAACACATATCTGAGTAATATGAAGGGGAGAATTAAGGGATTCATTTAAAAAGTGGCAATGATCAAAAAAAGAACCACCGAAAATGACAGTGTGGTATAAGCTCGTTGGGCAACACAGTTCCCCCTTCAGGAATGAAGAATTTATTCTCCTAGGTGCAGGCAGCCCTCATTCATCTCAGGTAATCAAGATTACCTCAATGGAAAACCTCTGCCTCACGTAAGGCCACGCCCCCTTCCCAAGGTAACCAATATCGGGTGACTTATCAATGGAAGGTCTTACTGACCTGACTCTTTCACTCCAGATGAGACATTTCAGAAGGGTCATGTTATCCTCAGACTAGCTGTGGCTTCTGTTGATAATGCCTTTCAGCTCAACCTCCCTCTCTACCCAGGTCTGCTTTGACCCTTTCTCTTTCACAGGTGTTGATTCCAAGAGCTCTCCCTAATAAATGTTTGTTTCCTAACCTCCATCACAGAGTCTGTCTTTGGAGAGTCCAATCTGTACACATGCCTGGTGAAAAGTTTGAGCAATTGACAAGTATATGGTATGTTTTCAAGGTAGATACTATTGTTGTTTTCACTCCACAGAGGAGAAAACGAAAGCATTAAGAGGTTAATTACTTGTCATTACTTGTTAATTCCTTTAGTTACTTGTCAAAGGTTACATCGATTTTGAGCAGCAGAGACAGGATTTAAGCTTCAACCATCTAGCCCCAGAGTTCACAATGTTAGCAACTACTCTCATGACACAGGACACCTCATTTAGGAAAACCCATATACCAGACAACATAAAATGAAAGGAATTATGCAAACAACTGAGTATTAAAATTGTAAAATGACTTTGATTTTCTAAATAGTGGTTCAAGGAATAGCCAAGTATCAATGTCAAGTATAGATCTACTTTCATATCACTCCAAACTAAAACAAATGCATCAGCATATTTATCTAAAAGTTCCAAGGAGATTACATGGGTTTACCAGATGCCCATTTGTATAAATACAACAATCTATAGAGGGGTTTTTAATAGCTACCAATGACAGATATAAAATAATATTACCTTTTTGTTTGGGGACAGTTAATCAGGGTGAGAGAAAAGAAAGGGCTATTACATTTTCCTTCAGATAATTTTTTCAACTTTATTATCTGCACATGAATGTCTCCACTATTCCTCCCTGAAATTTTTTCCTAGAGTCTAAATGTGATTTTCCTTTACTTTTTTCTTCTCCTTGGGGATACCTGGGTGTGCAAAATTTTCTCATAGTAACTGTTCATAGAATGAGGGATGATCCTCCCACCAAAGATTTATTTCTATAGAATCCTTTCAACAAATTTTCTCTCTTATCATGTCTGGATAATGGAGTCCCCAGTAGGTGGTTTCCAAATGCCGCTCCTTTGTACTTATTCCTAATGAGTAGCTGTAAACAGCAGAACTGCCTAATTCTGGTGTTTCAAATAGGCAATCTTCCTTGAACATAATTTCTTTGATTATTTTTCCTACTTAATAAAGAGTTACTTTTCAGAGGAACAAATGTAAATGTATATATAAATTCTGAAAGGGCAGATACGGAATAAAACAGAGTGGCCAGGATATTTGATTGTGTTGGAAATAGAGGTGCTTGAAGAGAATTAGATAGATTTGCTCACTGCTTCATTTCCCCACAAAAACAAAATCCAAATGGTCTTCCATGAGTTTGTGAGTTTTAGATGTAGTAAGGGTCTCATACCTTCATCTTTACACACTTCAGCAGCCTCTTCTGAAGCAGGGCTGGGCCCAGTTGCAGCATTGATGCCATCTGTACAGCAGAAAGAGAAACATGGCCTCAGAGTCAATATTGTCAAGATGGAGTTTCCCTGCCTGTGGCATGCCCATCTCCACTCCACCAAGGAAGTATGAACCTGTTTAATGCTCCAATACACTGCGTGCCCTTCGAAGGGTCTAGGACTTGTGACTCTCTTTTATAACAATGGACAGGAATCTTCCATTAAACCAGAGCCCAATGACAACAAACTATTTTTTGGTGAAGAATACTCTTCATTGGTCTTATTACGCTTTGGCATTTGCTTTTTCCCCACCTCTAGAAGAATGGTACATTTCTTTTAGTGAAAGATTGTGAAAGCATATTCTTGCAAGTCTCCACAAAGCGCTTTTAAGTGTGTGTATTTAAAGTTTGGTTTTTCTTAGCACAGCATTTCTGCTCTGTTATGTCAGGCTGTCAAACTGCAGGGAGCATGGCTGATGGCTGTCAGTGCAGAGGCCCAAGAGAAGGGAATCATTTGCAGGAAGCACCAAAAGCCATTTGGAGATTTCACATTACCCAAGCATACAGTGGGGGCTAAGGAACTTGGAGGTCCTTGTCCCCCTCACAATGGTAATGAACCTCATCAGAGTTGATCTTTCCCCTCAGTATCATAAGTATATGACACGGTGACTCCACTTGTATCTAGCTTCTAGGATAATAGATAATTAATTTACTAACATTAAAATAGTAAATTTATATATGGATTTTCAAAGTCATTTGGAATGGTTAATATTTCACAATTGAAGAAGGAATTGAAAAGGAATATACATTCTTCATGTAGTAACAAGGTTATGGAACTCAGGAGAATTCACACACCCATGACAATTAATATTTGAAGACAAACTCATTTTTCTAGCATCTCTTTCCTTCTTAATGCATAGGACTATAACTTGCAGATCATGTCTCTATTGGAAGAGAGAATAAAATTTTTAGTAGAGGAATAATTGGAGAGGATAAATCACTTTCTTTTGGTAGGTGACAATCGCCTATAAAAAGAAAAAAACAAACAAAAAACTATTAACTTTCCCTTGGCGTTACATCTTCCCATTTGCCCTTTCTTTCACAGCACAACTCCTTAAAAGAGCCGTCTGTGTTATTGTTCTGTACTTTCTCACTTCATAGTCTCCCCATAACCCACTCCATTGGCTCCAGTACCCCTCTGAGAATTTTCTGAGAAAAGATGCCAATGACTTCCATTTGTAAAATCCAGTGATCATTTCTCTTTCTCACCTTACTTAATTTCTCAGTAGAATTTCACAGAGTCTTAACTCTTCTTTGTGAAACACTTTTTTTCTCTATTCTGTTGCCACCTATCTGGAAGTCTTGATGTCCCAAGCCCACTGTTTTCTTTATTTACATGCTCTTTCTAGTGAATCTCACCCAGAACCATGGTTTTATCTTATTTAAAAAAAATTTTTTTTCAGAACCATGATTTTAAATTTCATTTATATGCCACGTGAATCTCAAATCTGTATCTCAGTCAACATCTCTCTAGACTCATCATCTAATCTATCTAACTAGCTAGCTTCTTGACATCCCATATGGCTAAGTGTCCTCTCATGTTTACTCTGGAAAAAGCCTGAACTACTAACTTTCTCAACAAAAACTATGCCTCACGGCCCGTCTTCCTAATATTAGCAAGTGGCACCATCATCCACAAAGTTCCTGATGCTAAAAATCTGAGAATTATCCTGGATTCCTCTTTCCCCCTTACCCCTCATCTGACTCCATCAACACATCCTCTTATCTTTATGTCTGGAATATGACACATCAGTCCATTTTGTCTCCGTTTCCAGAAACTGCCATCATGTCTTCCTGCTATAGCCTTCTAACTGGTCTCTGGTTTTGGTGACCCACTTTTACTCACAGGCAAAGTGAGCTTGTTAAAACTTCAAAACTTCCACTGGCTTCTTTGTAGTTCTAATAAAATCAAATCTTCAATAGTCAGACATTATCTGTTCCTATGATTTTTTTTTTAACCAAATCTTACACCATGTTCCCCCTAACACACCATGCTCCAGCCACTCCAACCTTCTTTCTCCAACATGCTAAAATTGGTCTTGAGGCATTTGCATCATCTGGTCCCTCCATCTAGAATGCTCTTCCACCAATGAGGAGATCCTCATTGAGATTTTATTTAATATGTCTTCCTCAGGGAGTCCTTCCCAAATCCAGCCGGTGGAAAGTTGCCTTCCCAGTGTTTCTTCTACCTACTCCATTTCTCCACAAGGCTTTTATCACCATCTTGTGTGTTTTTGTTTATTGTTTATTTCTCAGGTTCATCCCCCCTCCCACCACCAACCCCACCATAATATAAGCTTCAAGGAGGCAGGGATATTGTATTTATGGTTTGTCGTTGTATCCCAGTGCCCAGATCAGCACCTGAGTCACATAGACCCTTGATATATATTCATTAAATGACTATTTGAAACTAATAATGTACTATATACTGGCTAATTCAACATAATAATAATAATAATAATACGACTATTTGAGGAATATTATCTACAACTTCAATTTGGATTGTGACAGCAGTCAAACTGCAGGTTTGAGATGTGTTTTTCATGTTGTGGAAGAGGCCCACAGTTACATAATCAAAATTGAAATTGGAAATCATATTAATTGTAAAGGAGGTATTATCATTTTTGTTATTTTGGAAGAAGAGCAATAGGTCAGAAGGGCTTTATTGACCAGGACCTCATCTTTGATTTTTTTGCACTTGGATTAGGAAGGCTAGGAAATGAGCCAGAGCAGACATAACCATGTATACTGACAACAGCTAAGATCAGAGATGAATTCTGCCATGATTGGAGCCAACCAGCAGGCTCACTTGGAAGACCAGAGGAGGCCCTCAGGGGTGCCATTTGAACTGTTCTTTACCTTGAGACGTAAACATACTGTGATGAAAATGCTATCGATCCAAGGGGTAGAGAAGAAGACTGACGCCCCACCACTCTCTGCTGACAGGTGATCCCAAATCCAAAAAGAAACTGCCTGTTCTCAACAGACAAGCTAAAAAGGGATGAATAAACAAACCACAGGCAAATGTGTGTGTGTGTGTGTGTGTGTGTGTGTGTGTGTGTGTGTGTGTGTATGTGAACAAGGGTGGGGAAAATCTATGCTGATAAAGATAGCTGGGGACAGAACAGTGAGTGAATGAAACCTGTGAAATCTCACCAGTCAGAGAATGGCCTCAGCTGTCAGCAGTTAGTTGACTAATACTTGTCAGCGGCCAACAGTGAAAACAGTGACAGCTTCTCACACAAAACTCATCTTCCACGGTGCATAATGATGTGTGGGTCGGGAGCTGGGATGGGGAGTGGTGGATATCAACAGTCTGCTGGATCAGAAATTCAATTCATTGCAAGGACTATGTTTCGGCCAAGGGAGCCGGCTGACCCAGCGGCAGCTACACAAGGTCCCTGCTGCTTTGCTTCAGTGCTTTCTCTGATTGGCCTTCTTCAATTCCATCTTCCAGGTTAATAATAAAAGATTCCAGTTCTCTAGCAAAACTTCCAAGGTTAATGTAGGAAGTTTTCAGTGAAAAACTTATCATGCTACCTGGTTGATTTCCAAGAATTGAGCATATGGCCTGGGATGTGCCCGGCACACATCAGACGGTGCTCACTCTTTCAAAAATGCCCCCCCCCCCATGGGGCTCAGGGGGACTTGGAGACTAAAGGAAAGATAGGTATTTTGATTTGGGTGGTGTTGTTAATAGCATAACCGTGCCTATCAGTCTTTTAAACGAGAGTGTGACTGAGGACAGAGATGGGTAAAAAGAGACGAGAAGCTAAAGGTGGTGACCACCTCTTCTGTCTTAAGTGTTACTTCACTTAAAGATATTCCATTCGGAATCTACAGTAGAGAATCTATAAACATCCAATGGACACATCTGTTCTTAGGGAAAGAGGAGATGTCAGGAAGGCTTTGGATCTCATGCTAGGTCTGGTTGTGAGGTAACCGGGCTCCATGACACTGTGTCCTACCACCCCTAAAGAAACAACCAGAAACACGGCTCTTCAAAGTATAATGCAAAGCAGTAAAGAACATTCTACTCCTCATGGAGGGAAAGCCTCTTATTTCTTTCCTTTGAACATTTTGTATTTTATTTTTTCTCCCCAAACTAAATCTGCTAATTTTGAGGTAGCCAAGTTCTGAGGTAACACTGCTCTTGCTCCAAACTTTGCCTGTTGCTCTTAGAGCATTTCTAAGCGAAGTGTTGTTACACAGAAGAAGAATGGACTTGGTGAATGGGGAATGAGAATGCACCCTTCTGACTGGAAGTGCTGTCACCTATAGTCAGTAGAATTGGTGGCTTCTTGAGGGAGACCTATATGAACATGGCAATCAACCTGGTGAAAAGGTATAAGCATGTCTAGAAAACAACATCTGAGTGAAGTTACTGTTCATCTCTGCGGATAAGGCCTAGGAGACTCCTCAAAAAAAAAAAAAAAAAAAAATCTGAGCCCACCTGCTTCTTGGTTCTGCTCTTCCGTTTCTTCTGTATTTTGTTTTTCCTCTGGACCGTTCTCATCTTGCAAGAAAATCACAGAGGGGGAAGAAAAAAAAATACATCAAGTCAATTTATGAAATATCTCTTTATGGCTAATAGGCAGCACTGAAATTAATTGTAACCAATGTAGCCTGACTCCCAAAGCAAGGCAGAGAGATGAATCAGAGGCCTGAAACAGAAAAATTACCTACATAAATAAGTGCATTTATACTTGTCCCTTCTCACCTGATTTGCTTGACGAAATGTTCTACTATAGTAAACCAAATTCACTCAGCACTCCTACAACAGTTCTCTCCTTGCACAGCATTTCCCAAAATGCAGTACTGATCTTAATTCGAATCAGCGTTTCTCCCTTGACGGAAGCGATATACACCGTGTAAGGAAATTTGCCTGATTAAGTTTCTATGACTCCTTTTCCTGTTTGATATATGTTGCAAAAATATCTATTTTTAACTAATGTACACATGACAATCTAACACAACTATGCTATGAGATACTTTGTTTTGAACAGACTACATTGGTCAAGGGTACACCATAGTACATAACTCCTTGAAAAACAAATCACTGGGCAGGTTCGGTGATGGCTGTATGCTAGAAACTGGTTAACATTTTCTTTTGGCTTAAAATGTGTAATATATACCGGTGGATTTACGGGTAGAAAAAATAAACTTTTCAAAGGCAAATAAAGGCAGGATTTTCTACCTCATTGCTGGGACAGTTTCCAAATCTCTTCTTGTTTGGAAAATTTTTAAAAAAGAAAAATTTATATAAAGACACCGGAACAGAACATAAAGCATGTTGAGTACAGAAAGCAGAGAAGCAGAAGTGAGTAGCATATATTACTATGGGTTAAAGATGGCCATAGATCTTTGTCTCTCAAGAAGTGGAATTTTTCTCTCCTCTTCTTGAATCTGGACTGGTTCTGTGACTAGATCAGTGAAATGTGGAAATGATGCCTGGGATCCCCAAGCCAAGGCCTCAGAGGACTAGAAGCTTCGAATTTCTCCCTCTGGGAAGCCAGTCACCATGTTGCAGAGATGCTCAGGCTAGCCCCCTAAGAGAGAGGCTCATGGAAAGAGAGTAGTGCCATGTGGCAAAGCACTGAGGGTCCAGACACGTGGGTGAATCCTTCTGCACCTTCCAACTTAGCCCATCTGCCTGATGCATGCAGGCAAACCATGACCTCACCAGCACTACCAAGAGCTGAAGAATCACCCAGCTGAGCCCTTTTCAGAGTCCTGACCCATCACCAGGCTCAGATCACTTAACCTTGTTTTGCTTGCCTGCCTTGACCCACCATCCATTACTACTACCAGCTCTTAATCCAGAGGAGGGGAATCCTCCCTAGAGGAGGACTCAAATAGGAGTGCTCAAACAAGAGCCTCAAAAGCAATGGGAAAACATTTCACCAAGTTGCCCTGAAAAAGAACTGACCAAAGAGAGTTGTAGATGGGAAAACATTTGGAATTGACTTGAATGAAAGAAAAAAGTTTATAATACAGTGACATAGATAAATGAGTGAATGAATGAATGAATGAATGAGAGTGGCATTCTGAAGTATGGAAAAAAATGCTACCAATGAAAACACGATTATGTATACAATTCCCTCTGCCCAACACCTGTGCTATCTGTCTGGGGGGATACAGGTTACCTTTGAACAGGAGAACCCGAGGCAGCTCTACAGGTACCTATACCCAGTGTTCTAAATGGCATATTTACAGTACCGCTTAACGGTCTGACATTTGCTCTGTTCTAGTTCTCCAAGCAGATGACGGCATTGGATTTTGCTCTAGGAAGGAAACAGCCATCCTTGCTGCTCTTGCTCCCTTAACAAGGCTAAGTGGGTGCTGCAGCACGTGTTAAATCCATGGGTCAGTATTTTCCCCCTTCCTCCCATCAAATGGAGTCAGAATCAAGCAGGAGAAACCTGCCAGCTTTTCTGTCTCTCCCAGTGGACGGTCTTTTTAACAGAGATTTCACAATAGGTTTGCAGTCCGCAGTGACAGGCTGCCTTTAAAATTAGTCTGGTTACCGAGTTTCCTTTAGAGTAAAAAGCCTTCTTGCGCCAGAGGAAGATAAGAAGGGAAAGAGAAACACATTTTCAGTGAGAGGAAGGTGAGGAGTTGGCGAAATGCATGAGAGGGACATTTCCAGTCAGACCCCGAGACCGGCTTTATAACAATAAAAACCAGTCTGTTTTCCTAAGGTACCCCGACTGGCTTTTTACCCCTCTGCATTTGCGTGCCGTCCCACTCCCTAACACAGCCACCGGAGGGACACGCTCTTGGTTCCCACTTTGAGCCTTGACTGCAGGATCCAGTTGCAATATTTCTGCCCTACAAAGAAAACTCAAGAAATGGCATGTTTATTACCGAGTAAGTGCATTCTAGAAGAATGCTGGATTTGCCATTTGAGTAACGTGGCCTCGGAGGACAAGGTTTAGGTACACTGCTTTCATCCGTCTCTAGACATTCACCCTCAGAGCCAGCAGGGGGAGCCAGCGTAGAAGTCTCGCTTTCTAAGCAAGCCTTCTCCCGCAATTAGATTAACATTCCTTTCACTCTTTCAGAAGGACACTTTGGCTGGCTTATAACTTTCCATCCATTTAAAATGCCTCAAATGAGTGGGTTCTTACTGAAACAGGGGTCTTCCACTGGTAGGGGGAAAAATCCCTTTACAACAGTTACCGGTAAGTATTTATTTGATAAGGACAAGCTTTCCTTTTCATCAGCCTTGTCTGTCTAGCTATCTTCACAGGAAGCCCATAAACAATAAAAAGTTAAGTAGAGTGGCGAATATAGACTTGTGGTTTTTAGAAGGGATTTAAAAGGCTTACAATAAATGTGAAGAAATATAGGGAAGTGAAAGGCAATTCTGTTAGCTTAAAAAATGTCACGCAGAAGCTAAATTCTTGTAGTTAGTACGCATTTAAGATCACATTATTTATTTCAGATAATAAATTCCCATAGCATTCACGGTGGGAGTCACATCACATGTTATTTTCTCAAGCCAAAAAGCACGGTAATCTGTGAGCATTTTAGTTGTTGCATAATTTTTGTTTCTTCAGTATTCATATCCTGCTCTTCACTCTTTCAACCCATATTTATTGAGCATGTACTATATGCAAGGATATTTCAGCAATTTTATACAAATAAAATAAGAGACTCCTGCTGTGAACTGAATTCATGGAGGCAGTAGGAATGCATTATTTGTTGGATGATGACAAGACTGTAATCCATGTTTATTTCTGCATGAGAGAGATGCACAAGGGCAAACTCTCAATGTCATGGCCACAGGTTACTATCCTGATATGCGTGGTTCTTTTTGTGAACTGTGCATGGGAAGAAAAAGGGGAAATAAATCCAAGCAAATCCATCCCTGCTACTGGAGAAACAACCTGATGTGTGTTGCCTGTTCATGAACTAATAATCTTTCTTATAGAGGTGCCGACATTTCCAGGCACAGACAGAGCATATACCATTGAAATACAGTGGTTGACAGATTAGATCATTGGTCCTGATTCTTCAGTCCCCTGTAATGGACTGGACAGTTAGTATTCTCCCACTGTGGGCTGAGCATACATCCCAACCCACTAATGTTGGGTTTGATCAAGTTACCTCATTTAGCGAGTGAAATATTAGTGGACACAATGTGAGCAAAAAGGCTTAACTGTGTTGCATAATTGGACTTGACACCTGTGTTCCTGACATTTGTCATGACAAGAAGATGACCGTATAGCTGCTGGTTTAAAGAGGATGAGAGATGGGACGCCTGGGTGGCTCAGTTGGTTAAGCGGCTGCCTTCGGCTCAGGTCATGATCCCAGCGTCCTGGGATCGAGTCCCACATCGGGCTCCTTGCTCAGCGGGGAGCTTGCTTCTCCATCTGCCTCTGCCTACCACTCTGTCTGCCTGTGCTCATGCTCGCTCTCGCTCTCTCTCTCTCTCTAATAAATAAATAAAATCTTAAAAAAAAAAAAAAAAAAAGAGGATGAGAGATATGTGGAGCAGATCAAACCCAAGGTATGACTGGGAGCCAAGCCCAGGCAAGTCACAGCTTGAAACAGAGCTGTCCAGCAGAGCCCAGCCTACATCATCTGAATGGTAGTCAACTTGCAAATCTGTGAGCATGAGAATAAATAATTTTGTTGTAAGGGACTCTATTTGGGGTCATTTGTTACACAGTATTATCATGACAACAGCTGATTAATACAAATGGTTTATTTATTTTTCTCAAATCAGGAAGGCTCAACTTTTTTTTTTTTTTTTTTTTTTTTTTAAAGTCAATCCTCTTCTGTTTATAAAGAATTCAGTCTTTAATTTTATATTTTGCCACCCGGCTAACATTTCCATCTCACATGTTCCCAAATTCTCTAGAATATACACACAAAAAAATAATGTTAGCTTATATAAGAGAGGAATGATCTCAAAAGTAGGCACTTCCATCAATTATACTTATGTCTTATGTAATAGAGCAATGTGAGTAACAGCATAATACTGGTTAATACTGCTAATATTTATTGAATACTGGCTATGTTCTGCTCAGTGTCTAAGTACTTTGCATAGACCATAAAATTTAATTCTCATAGCAACCCAGTAAGCTTGGTATTGTTATTATTACTTTTTAAATATTTTATTTATTTGTTTGAGAGACAGAGAGAACATGAGCAGGGGGAGGGGCAGAGGGAGAAACAGACTCCCCACCGAGCAGGCAAACCCAATGCAGGGCTCAATCCTAGACCCTGGGATCATGACCTGAGCTGAAGGTAGATGCTTAACCAACTGAGCCACCCAGGCACCCCTGGTATTATTATTATCCACATTTCACAGATAAGAAAATTGAGATACAGAGATAAGTAATTTGCCTAAGATCCTTCATCTAGCAAGTGGTGGCAGCAGGGTTTTGAGAATCTGAGATACAGAGATAAGTAATTTGCCTAAGATCCTTCATCTAGCAAGTGGTGGCAGCAGGGTTTTGAGAATCAGCTGACACCACAGCCTACTATTCCCTTCTTGGAAACATA